GACAATGTGTTGATTCAGGAAGAGTGCCAGCTAAAGGTTTACAATTTCGAATTTTTCGACAGCGCTGAAATCTCCTGTATTGAGAGGTGCAAAACGCTGCTATTCCGACTTCCGGAAGTACGGAATGGATCGAAACTTGGGCCGTATGCTATCCTCCCCGAAGGGGTTAGGGGACGAAAATTCCTTTAAATTTTCTCTGTCTTCCCAACTGGGATTGCCCTGATAAAGGGCCTACATTTAATGTATGTAGTAAAAGTAAACATGCACTGAAAATGAAGAAACTATATCGTTCAAAACAAATAAATTTAAAGGAAACTTTGATCACCTAGCTTCGGGGAAGGATAGCATACGGCCCTATTTTTACCACTGCAAATTGGAATTAAAACTTAATTTTCAAGCCTTAACGAGGCATCTCACGTTGTTACGCCTGTGATACGATAGAATGATACCTGTTCGGCATAGTTTTATGAAAACAATTGGCTAATAACTTAATATCTTTATAAATTCTTTATAAAACCAGCCAAAAGGATGAAATTCGATGTCGGTACAAAAATGGTTTTTGTGTGGAAAACGTGAAACGAAGTACGATTTTGTTTCCTATATGAATTCTTCGTAAACCATAGAAGTAAAGCTCCGAAAATGTTCTACCCCTCCTAATTTCGATTATTTATTTTGAGTTCCTACCCTCCGAAAGTATGGCAGAAAACCATACAGAACTGAGAATATTTACCGTTGTAGCGCTCGGCGTAGAATGTGATGGCGAGACGTTTCTAACCTCACCAGGCTAAACATGAATGCGAATTTTTTGCCGGGAATGTGAAAAATCAGTGAGGCTAGTCAGAGCAGTCTCCTAGGAAAAATAAATAATAGGAGTATTGGTGTGAGAAACAAATGTTTTGACCTCTGCGTGGTGGCCAGTGAGCGATCGCTGCAGCCACCTGATTGGCTACAGTTTCCTGCCAGATTCGATAGATAATTGGTTAGTTGCAACCGATATTTTGGCTCAAGACGGTCCATGCAAGGCCGCACACACAACAAATGCCCAAATCAGGTACTGGTCAAGACATAAACATTTAACTAGCAAAGAAGGGTCCTGCCGGATTTACAGCTACAGAGAAAGCTCATGCATTTGTGTGTCCAGTGGCTTTTCATTGCCCAACACTTCCAGCTCTCCTCCTCATATCTCTTCCTTCCTGTCATGAAAGACACAACCACCTTCAGAATGCGTGTAAACTATTCCTTCCGCCTGTAAAGATAAACTCTACCACTCTTTGCAAAAATTATAAATACCACGTGGAAAGTCCTATAGAGTTAATAAGTACACAAGAAAAAGCCTTTGAAAAAAAATGTGCTCAATATAAATATAATTTCGAGTGTAAACACCAACTTCCATTTCGAAAACACGAAAATTTTTTATTTTCATTTTTCAGAAAAGGGCCACTTTGCCGATTGTGCAAAAATATAAATCCACCCCATGTTTCTCGGTTGAACTTCATTGTTATTTGGCGTAACTGTCAGGTTGTTTCCACTTCCTCTTTCTCAGGTCATGACGGAAGCAACACCGTAATCGGACTCCGAAAAAAAGGCGAAATCTGCAAAAGAGTGGGGAGATTTGTCATGCAGACATACCGCGCGTGATTTGAGCACCGCTTATGTGGTTGTTGAGCATTTTGTCAAGAATCCTGCAGCATGTGGAATCCAGAAGAGCACTGAACCCTTTTCTTCGTGTTTTGGGTGCGATGACCGTAGTTTTATAGGAACAGCAGCCGATTCTCCCAAGAGGTGCTCGGGAACTCAGCCTTCAAAAAAGCCTAATTTCAGGAAAGCCACCGTTTGGCGTGTGTTAGAAGAACTCTGAGACCACTCTTCGACGGAAAATGAGTATGGCACAGTTGAAGACACAAAGCCATCCCAAAAATCAAGCCAACTCTTCCATAATGTGTGCATGCTGCGCCAGCTGCATTAAGTTCGGCTTTCTACACGCTACTTTTTACTGTCTGTCTGAATTTCTCTGAGCTTTTTTTCTGGCAGTGTGTTTGGCAGAGACAGGAACTCATATTGAAAAAGGAAACCAGTGAAACAAGTGAAAACAGCCATCAAAAGGTACTGCGCGGCCAATTGGCCTCGCTCCGGCCAGATCGACCACTGATCTTGGGAAACTTGGCTTGATTTTTGCGATGATTCGGGATTTTTGAATGTGTCCTACTCATTTTCCGTTGAACAGTGACTCAGAGTTCCTCTAACACACGCCGATCGGTGACTTTCGAGAAATAAGGTTTTTTGAAGGTTGAGTTCCTGGGCACCCCTTGGGAGAATCGGCTGTTTTCCCATAAAACTACGGTCATCGCAACTGAAACGCGAAGAAAAGGGTTCAATGCTCTTCTGGATTCCACATGCTGCAGAGTTCTTGAAGAAATGCTTAACAACCACGTTAACGGGGCTCAAATCACGCGCGATTTGTCTGCATGGCAAATCTCCCCACTCTTTTGCAGATTTTGCCTTTTTTTCGGAGTCCGATTGCGGTGTTACTTCCGTCATCACCTAAGAAAGAGGAAGTGGAAACAACCTGACAGTTACGCCAAATAACAATGAAGTTCAACCGAGAAACATGGGGTGGATTTATATTTTTGCACAATCGGCAAAGTGGCCCTTTTCTGAAAAATGAAAATAAAAAATTTTCGTGTTTTCGAAATGGAAGTTGGTGTTTACACTCGAAATTATATTTATATTGAGCACATTTTTCTTTCAAAGGCTTTTTCAGAAACACCCTATCATGCGAATTTTCAAGAACTTTCCAGGTGGATTTATATTTTTGCAACGCAGTAAGATGAAACATTACAAATTAGCATTCCTGTTCAAATTCACTCCAACAAGAGCGGCACTCGCCCTTGCATAGTAACTGTAATCAGGCTGCCCGTTCCTTTTTTTCTTTATACAGGCGTTGCCTGGCGTCTCTCACTATGCGTCTCTCCGTCCGCGTCCATGTTTCACTTTCTGCCTCATTTTCTCATCCGTCCTGGCATGTCAGGCGATTACCAAGGTGGGCACCCCATCAAACCTTAACGTTTTCGCGCACGGATTTCCTTTTCCCTTTTTTGGCTACTGTCGCCTATTTTACAACAATCCATCCGCATTCCTGTGCAGCAAAGCACCACAGTTTGATCCTGGAGCATGCCTTTGATACTTTCGCCTTCGGCTCCAGAATACATGACTTCTCCCAGAAACCAAGAAAGAAGACAGCCATCTATAGGACCCTGACACCATATTCATGCTCCTAGACTATATTATTGGTCGTTGAGAGCGCTCTTATTGCAAACCAACCTCAAAAATATCTGTATTCAAAGAGCTAAATTGCAACGCAATTCGTAGCGCGGCAGCTAGTCTGTCTTTTTTGTTTGCTGTAAGTCAAACAGTCGTGTCATTCACTAACATCTACATTGATTTGGTTGTAGAGACCGAAAGCCGATTGAAACATCCCAACATATATCTCCACTATGTCAGACTGTTCCTTCAGTGAGCAGAAAAATTCAGTCCCTATGTCACCAACTACACGAACATCAATATGATTCTAATTCTTGATTTTTTGCGGCACGTTAATTGTTATGTACATCTCGATTGGAGTTCATTTCAATCAGTACATTACCATTTCATTTCACAGTCAATTTCACGGCCATTCACAGTGCGATCAGAAATAGAACTGAAGACCCAAAAAAAACAAGAAAACTGAAAAATTGCTCAACGACAGCAAAGCCCGGTTCGATAGCTTCAACCCGACGTCTTTTAGATTCAATTTGATAAGGTACGCTCTAAGAATTGCAAGATGCGGGTCCTCTCTTTAGAGAGCCAAACAAAAGGTGCCGGCTTTTCAAAGACATACATTAGCGCTCAGTCTTAGCCGACATATCAAAGAATAGCAGACTTTAGAAACCTGCAGCGAACACCATAAAAGCTCAAAGAGAAAAAATCGAACCCTGTTAGGATATCCATTTCTTTTACACATTTTGAACATCTGTGTGGTTAGTTTTGTGTTGCCCGCAGTTCCCCTTTACTACTCACATTGTCAAGGAGCGCCTTACACCAAATAAATAGATAGTTACCCTTCTTTATGTAATTTTAGGTGAAGCGCAGAGAGTTAAGCTTAAAGTGCTGAGTTCGTGGACTACATATCCGTCACTGTCCTTACTTACAGGAGGAGGAGGCCAAAAAGACACACTTCCCATACATTTAAAATACAACTATTAATCAGACTTTCGATAAATTTTCATGCCTAATGAACTCAACTGACAAAGAGCAATACCAGTCTATCATAAACTCAACAATAGCTTTTACACCGATGACAACAAAAGAACATGTCTATGCAAACGTTGTGCACGGTTCAAACTCAACGAGGTCCTTGGCGATTATGGGTCATTAGATTACCTGAGCGCTGCTCGGAAGTGGTATTGCATAGTCAGAGCTAGTGTCCTAATAAGAGTTATTCACCAGTTATCCGATTGAAGAAATTATGTAGCAGCTTCAGAATGGAGCGATTACGGTAGGCCTCCTTGAGCTCGACGGTGATGACAGATGACGTCATATTCTGGAGACGGTGAAGGCAGCGAAGGAGGGCCTGCTTCTGCTTATGGGGGGACATCTAAGGAATATTTTGCCGTAAAACTCCCAATAACAGCGGCATCCTGTGCGACGAAAAGTTTGATGATATGCGCCATGGGCAAAGTGACTCTTTTTTGGCCAACCCGGTAGATTCGACACCTGTCCCTGGAGAATTGGTAATAACAAACTTTTCCACCTAAGTTTATTGGGAAGAACCACTCCGATATTTGTTACGAAATCCACATCCTATCTTATCTCACATTTATAAGCGAATCATAATTTGAAATAGAATCGCAGACACTTCTGAAACCCTGATTTCTTACTTCTCAACTAGAACGGTTCGTAAATATTGCAAAGGCGGTGAAGGACATGTCTCCCATGAATTCGGCACTTACCTTTGCAAATGACTAATCGATCTGGACATTAACGGTAACATATGAAGTAAGGATTACCTGTCGTATGATTGCTTTATGCTCCAAATCCCAAAATGTCAGCGTGAATTCGGACGACGTCACCGCCATCTCGTCACCTAATGCAACAAGGCCTCTTGCAATCAACACTGCATCCTTCTGAAAACACCTGGTTTTTGATTGACAGAAGGAACGAAAAAAAGGGAGAAGGACGAAGATGAAAGTAGATGAAACACGCGGGCTGGATCGAAACTCCTGAGGTGCTAACAAAGGACTCCCTATCATTTTGGTGATCAATTGGGACAACGATTGCGCAAATGCCTCCACTATCAAAATGAAAGGCAGACAAAAAAACAGGGTCGAGCGCTCATACTTTTAGCATTTTTTGAGCTGGAAAGACCGATGTATTAAAGCATAAAAGCGAGCATACCTTAATATGATGTTGAGCGATTCGGCTGAGTAGATTGCCATCGGATTTGTTCCACAAAATGAAATCGCCTTCAGATGTGTAACCTAGCAGATAGTCTGTCGTACACGCTAGCTGTACCTTTCCTGGAATTTATTCGTTCAGAAAGTGTTTAATTGAAAGCGAAATCAAAACAACTGCAAGACTCGTAACGAGATGAAAGTAGCCACAACAGGACCAATCACTGCCTGGAGAAACTCGAGGTCAGCATGACCTCTCCTCCACCCTCTCACAAGAAGGCGAAGTTTTTGAATTTACTTGGAATAATTCCTTGAAAAAGCAGTGCCAAGTTATGAAATTTGATCCCTGCCCCTATCACAAATACCCGCTCATTGAAGACCTGCTCACGGTTGGTTGACCATGACACACCGGTGTCCTCTTAACACTTTCCGCCGCAAAATCACTACTCTACTGACTTTTTTCGTGCGCTCATGTCCTTGGGGGAGGGGGACATCCAAGTGAGTGAGCCAATTACTGTGCTTGGGACTAAGCCCTAGGGAGGGGAAGGGATCCTGGGGAGCATGTGAGCAATTGTGTTCTCCCTGGCGTTTCTCCCCTTTGCTGGGCTTAGTCCTAGTCTCACCTACCATCGGCTCTGTTTTGAATGTCCCTCCCCCCCCCCCCCCCCCCGAATGCCATAAATGAAGATTAAATTGCTAATCAGTGAATAGTTATTCGCACCTGTACACTTGACATCGAGAGAGCGAAGAAGTTCTCCGGTTGTTAGATTCCACCAACAGATTATTCCTTGCTCACAAGCAGAAAACAATATCTAAATTCATAAAAAATGAATTTACCCTTTTTACTTCAAGCAGCAAAAGATGTCTCTTACACTTGTCGAATGGTCGATGCACACGGCTGTCACCGGACCGCTGTGAGCATGCAGCATCGACTGTAGTTGACAGGTGCGTAAGTCGAACACCTTGAGTGTATGGTCGTAGCTGGCAGACACTGCTGTCAGTGACGAAGCTCCCAAGTAAGAAATCGGTTTTTGATGAGCGCGAATCACGTTGAGAACCATGATCGACTTCACTCGAGTAGGCTTAAAAGAATACTTTTATGAGATATTCACTCACTTCATTAATTAATGAAACATTTTCAGCTAGAAAATCAGGCTAGATCCAGTCGCCTTAAAGGAGGCGATTACGATAAAGAGGGAGCGCATCGGGGAAGCATGTGCACCACACGAATCAGTTACTTGGCTGCCAGGGAAGCGAGATGTGGCGCTTTCACGACGAAAGGTGCGCTGGTTGCTGAGCAGGACTTCGAAAGCGCTCCGCCCCCAAAAGCGATCCGCCCACTAGTTTACTTGGTGATTTGGACGAGCTGCGTGCCAGCAGCGGCGCAAATGGAGCATCTCGATTAAAGCGTGGTTTGGCATGGTGCCATCAAACGCGTTGCGGTGAACTCGTTCATACGTCCACTTTCTGAGCTGTTCATGAGTGAAAACCAACGGCCAAAAAAGGGGGTCCCGTTTTGCGTTTTCTTGACGGATTTTCTGCTTTTTTCGCTACTGGCGTACCATTGAGCACCACCACGTCACACTAAACCCTTCTTGAATTTATCGTAATCGCTGCCTTTAATACAAGTAGTTTTTAGCCAGTTTTCCGAAGGAATTGAGAAACGCGTACCCTTTCCGTTGTCAGTGAAAGCTCCAAGAATTCTATAGAACCGTCCAGTCGAGCCACCAG